AAGAGTTATCTTCGTTACCAACATGCCCGTACAATCCAAGCTTCCTGATTCGTGGGACGATCGCAAAGTATTCTGGATGGTCGCGTATCAACGAATCACTAGTTTTTCCAAGAGACGACACAGACATGTTGAGTAGAGGCAGCCCCTGGCATTGGTTCCAGCCCAGTCCTCTTGCGGACAGGAAGAGAGTTAAAGTGGTTGTGAGTAAGCTGTTGACTTCCTTGCAGTCAAGGTATGAAGTAGATTTATTCCTTATAGCAGCGACCCTTGTTATGAATCTAATGAATGATGAGAAGACAGCAATGAGTGTTCCCTTCAAAATTTGAAGGAAGCTCGGACCGGCGTCTTGCAGTATAGACACCACTGACTGCCGCTGTTAGTCCTATTGTAACGCACCAAGTTAAGCTATAGAGACCTTTACATTTTAAGGGCCTGTTTACATGGAGGTGGGGGGTCCCAGGTAGGTGAGGTAACCCGCCTGTCTATATTATCTCTCATTTTAATTTGATCACGCTTACATGATAGGTGGGGTGACCCGCCACATGTTACCTTACCTATCTGGGGTCCTCCACCTCCATATAAACAGGCCCTACGTCGAGGACGACTACGAGAATAAAATTTTCCCAATACTAAATAGTGGGCACGTGTGAATCAACGTCATTTGGAGCAGGGAAACGTGCAATGGGTTTATTGAGGCCCTTTTGGGTCAAATTCCAACAAGAGACATGTAGACCTTGAAACAGGGATATAGGACAGCAGAAATGGCGTCAAACGGGAGATAGTTGGTTGAAACTGCGACAGCAACAGAGAAAAGCCCAAATACAATAGTATACTAGCTGACAGCGACATGGGTTCGCGATCCTCTCCTTAATACGCGTCTTGCTTAGGGGTGTAAATTGCAGATTTTGGCCCCACTTTGGGACGGAAAGTCACTATACTTGCCCATTTAGGTATGAATCGCTTATGGTTGTGCGTAAAGAAATTTACGAAGAATGCCGCGATGTCTGTTTAAGTATGGCCTCATTTATGGCTCAGTTAAACTTTAGCCCCACCAACATTGGTCTCCCTCAGGGGTTTAATTTTAATTTTCCGACAAGCATCTCCGTCACTTTTACATGGGCGCCCTCTCCCTCCCCCTCCAGGGTGCCAGATAACAGGTTTAGAGATCTCGTCTCTTATTTCTTTCCTCTGTTTTCCTTTTTAGGAAGTATTACTTAAAAGAAGTCTACAAAGTGATACAAAAATCAGACCCCGGAAATGGCGATCGGTTTTTGTTGGACCTTGAACTTGGTTTAATGCATGACCCGTTGAATCGATCAATTCGCTTTGCACAACACGTGTACCAGAGAAAAGGAAGTGATATATTGTGCCTTCCTGAAGGAATGAACTGGAACAGCAGCGCCACAGTGTATTTTATCGTCGCTGTCAAGGATCAGGGAATATGGGTGCATCATTTCCTCAAACAGCTCACTATTGCGAGCTTATTAACCGGTGACACGAACTTTCACGTCATAATCGCTGATTTTCAAAGTAAAGATATTAACATGAGCGAGGCGTTTAGTACATCGCTACTCCGAAGTAGGCATACTATCATTAATTTAAAGGGAAATTTTTACAAGACTCTTGCTTTGAACAAAGCCGCCGAAGCTGTGCCTAATGCGCATGACATACTTTTCGTGTTTGACCTTCACATAGATGTGCCTGCAGACATCATGGACAGCGCTCGAAAGGTTATGATAAATTATCGTTCTATTCATTAAACTAGACTGTTCACAGAACCCTATTTTTTTTGTAAGATCGCCAGGATCTAGCGCTCACCAGTACGGGCGGTACCGGTCATTGGGGGCTCCTGTCATTGGTTAAAAGTCTACACTCAGTTAACTTTGGAAATCAGCGCAACCTAAAGATTAGTTATCTGCTAGCAGATTGACTAATCTGTAAGTTGTGCGCGCAATACATGATTTCCAAAAAAAGTGTCAAACTGTGTTCCGTGCGACCGTGTGTTTGTCGTTATTTTGTTCTAAGACCTCTTCTAGCTAAAAAAAAAAGTTAAAGAATTCGTCTTTCTAACTACCGAAATGACGATTTTAGTCACTCTGCTGCGCCAAAAGGGCCCATTTCTTTATTATTATGCCGCTTTCTCGGCACATTCATGCCTGATTGGCCTACCTCAATGGCTCATTGATATGCGTAAATGTCCGACCATTCGGCTTCCGATGAAAAAAAAAACGGGCCTTCGTGATATCCGGGAATAAACAAGGTCGAGGTAGGTGATATCATTTGAGACCTTCAGCTTATTAGATACTTACCTCGACCTTGATTCTTCTGCAGAAACTTCATCCAATTGTTCATAATTATTTGACGCCCCTGCCTTCATGAATCGTAAGTAAACTGCAACTATAAAAATCAGCCAGAAAACTAGTGCATAGTGAAAAACTTAGATCACGGTTTTTACTGCACTGAGAAAAACAGAAAGGCTTCTGATAAAAAGCAAGATTAAAACTATGGAATCAATATCTCTGATCTCTCCTTCTCCTTAGAACACCATTGCTGGTCGTATGGTTTATTGTCCAGCGGTCGGCCGCCTGGATCAAGGTAGTAATTCTGTGGAACATCGAGGTTTCTGGCAAATGGATGGGTACGGACTAGTGGCGATATATAAATCAGATTGGATAAGAGTTGGAGGTAAGACTAAAGGAGTTTATTCTTAACCGAAACTTAATTAGGTAAAGCGTTTTCTCACACCAGAATTAAGTTCAGTTTAGGACGAGAAGAGGCATTCGCCGCTTTAAAAACAAGAAGAAACTGGGCCGAGTTAACTTTCGCAAAGACATCTGAGACTGTTACTGGGGACAGAAATTGGCTAATAGCTGACTGGCGCGTCCATAGTAACAATCCCAGAAACAGTTGCGGGACGCTTTGAGTCCAGTTCCCTTCTCGCTCCAAGGTGGCGAATGTGCTCTAGGGGGTTGGAATCCAATGGCAGGAGGGAGGGGGCGGGGGAAACGGACTGGAGGGAGGATTAGGTCGTACTGCGTCATAACGGTTCTGATCAAACTTTGGCGATGTTGGAGGCTGAACATTTTTCCACCTCTAGGGCCTCTTTTTGTCTCGCTTTTGCGCTCAACGGAAAATAACAATGACGAATTATGGAATATCGCTTTCATGAAAAGACACCGCGCCAGTCTATTGGACGCATCTGTCCTGTTTCCGTGTCACGCCTCAAACATTTGTTTTTTTTTTCTTGTTTTTACTTCGAATTTACGCTTAACTAGGAATGAACACTAACGACTACACAGACAAGTGGGGAGGAGAAGACTGGGATCTACTCGACCGCGTGTTAATGGCGTCGCTTGAAGTAGAGCGAATCAAGTACCCAGGTCTCTACCATCACTACCACCCCAAACAAAAACAGTGGAATTAGCCAAGATCATGACCCAGGATGCACAGA